GTGATTCCATTCAGTTTTTGTTTCTTATGACTAAATGTGATATTAGGTGCTTCCTACCAAACTGTAAATTTTCCTAGAGATTATGTTCCTAATGATTATGTCTAGGTTATCTTTTTGAATGAATTGTAGTATTTTACCTTTCAAATGGCCTTTGTACTTTCCCATTTGTGAATACAGTTATACCAAGTGCCAATGGTAAACATGATTTCTTGATATCTAATGTTGTGTCTTATTGTTGTTCCCATTATGTCCTATGTTCTCTTCATCATGTATGAGATTTAACATTCTTGATTGCCCTTGAAAAGAAGAGACTTTACTTTCACGATTTTGTGAAAGGTGTGGACTATATTTGTTTTTTTTATAAAGAATGCTTCTGAATTTCTGTTATAACTTCTTTTCTCTCCATTGCAGATTGCGAAATCTTTACCCAGATTATGCATTTTGTCAGGACTAAGTGGTGAGGAGATGATAATGTTTATTGATGCATTTCCAGAAACTGGTATGTAATCAAGACTCGAGTCGTTGAATGTGCATAAAAAAATCTCTTCAAAAGATGCATTGCTACATCCCAGCTACTCTATGTTCCAATTTCTTTTGCCTGTATCCTATTTTTAGATAACTCTAACAAATATAAATAAAATTTCCAACTTCTGGAATGTAGTCTTACCACAGATCAAGACGACATTCGAAAAATTCAATATTTTGTTCTTGTAATGCACAGAACTGAAACCAATTAACTATAACTTTGTACAAAATAGATAACACGGAATTTGGTGAACACCAAATTTTGGTACAATTTGTTCACTCTATGAAGAAGATTAAGAATGAGGTTACAAAGATCTTTGTGACAGGTACCAAGAACAGACAGTTTCAACTCTAGAACTATTCATTTTGATTTTCTACTGTTAGTGGGTTTGCTAAATAACAATCTCTTGCTACAGAGGTGAAATTGAAAGCCAGGAAGGAAATCAATCTAATGGGACTAAAAATTTGTTAATGCATAACCATTAGAATCTCTAGATTTGTGGGAGGAACTTCTTAGGTTTGATTCTCCACCAGTATCATTAATAATGATCCCTCACTGTTCCAACAGGTTCAGATCTGCAGTAGTCAAATAATCCCTCTATTATTGTTGATTGAATAGGTTGTTGTGATTCAATAGGCAGTTTGCTCATTAAACGCTTACACGTTATGCAAGATATTAACTTCACTACCAACACATACTGTTGCTTCTCTTCAGGATTGCAACCGGCGGTTTTTGCAGCCCTCGTTCCTAACAGCGCAGATAAACTTCTTGGAGATGTTATCGACGAAATTATGGGGGATCATGAAATGATGGTTTGTTTCTGGACTTATTCTCTGATTTGTACATCTAAATTTGCATACCTCCTAAACAGTTCAGATTTCTGCAGTCAGGAAAGCAGTCAAGTTAGTTCTTGCGACCATCGCAAGCTTGTACGGCACAAATTGATGTCGAGGTTGATGGAGCTATAGATGGAAGAGCTTCAGGACGGAGCGGGACTTCATCCTGAACTTTTGTAGTGATCAAGTAGATAGTAAATACACTACTGGAGCAAACTAAAGCTGTACACATTCTCATGCATTCTGATGCATGAGGACTCATGGCACTTATGATGTGCTTGTTAAAATGTTAATAAGGGTTGCCCTCACACAAATTTGTGTGCATCATCATCACTAAGACAAGTATTGTAGAGTAAAACCTGGGCCTTTGAGCTTGCCATGATCTCAATGTTGTTACAATAGCTCGATGGTTGTTAATGCTAAACAGCTTGAGTTCAAGCTTGTGTTTGACTCCAGTTCAGCTCCATATTGAGATTTTATTATTATTATTATTATTTTCTTTCTCTATATTTTAACTATTGCTATGTTGTTGAGATTTTTTTTAATTAAAAAAATTTTCATTACATCAAATGATGTATATGGTGTTCACACTATCACGTATTTAGCTGGTTTTGCCTAGATCGTATGGTATCTTTGTGTATTTGTTCGTAAAAATCAGTCTTTCTAAAACATCCTATGGTCCCTTAAGACCTATAAAAGAGAAAACGGGTTATAAAAAGCGTCTCATTCGGGATTCACAAGTAATCATTTCAGTAAACACTTCACATCTAATGCAAATTATAAACATGCAAATTATAAACATGCTTCGTAAACAAAGGGTCCAAAATGGTCTACCACAGATCAAAATTTACACAAGTGTTCATATAATATAATCTTTGTGTGTAAACCTAGGACGATAATCAAAACAAAAAAAAAAGAGGAATTGCTAAGCCTATTGCCAATCTTTCACATGCTGTGTAAAGCATGAACAAAACCGAAAGACATTGATATACATAAGTATTACATCAAACACATCGTTTATAATTTTATTCATGACAACATGTTGACTTGATCCGAGACTTATCACTTATACAATATTATATTAACCAATCCGAATGTCTCAATAGAAATGATTGTTGACATGTTACTATGCTTATGCATATGTTTTTTTGGAGTGATTCATACATGCCACTAAACTCTTTTATTGAGCATCGAGACAATTAGAAGTCTGGCTTCCAATGGCAACAATATAATAACAAACATTTCAAGCATATGAAGGAGTACCATTAAGAACAGAATTAATTATATATGTGTAATTCTATATACTGGGGAAAAGTTAGAACCATTCTAATTACTACAAATCTAGCAAACAGAACACACAAAGAATCCAGAAAATGAGAGGATTTGATTCAATGCTTTACTACAAATCTATCCTTTTTCTTTGTTGCCGTCCAGCCTAGAACTCGAGGAGAGAGCACAAACCAGTTGTTCCACCTTCTCAGCAACAGCTGGCCATGGCCCTCCCTATCTCAGAACCAGACAAGGATTACTCATTCATGATCCTTGTGATCAACTTCCACTTGCATCAACTGATGAGAGAGAGACGACGAATCCTTAACATTACAGGATCAACGTGCTCCCAACACAAAAGCCAATCTGCATGTATCAAATCCACTAACAGTTCGATCTTCATTCACCATCCGTGACATTACTTACCAAAATCGATCCATTCACTACTTGCAGATGGCAGGTTTTCTGTGGGCTGGTCAACGTGAAACCTCAGTAGCACTGTAGAAGCAGAGTATTCTTAGTTGCAGTTCAACCTATTTCTTGTGCCTCTCTCATCACAGAGGCATCTCTGCTTGCAGACAAATTGCACTGACATACATACAAGCTCAGCTCATGTGAGGCTGAGAGATCTTTCGGGTGATAATACAATGAGTACAAACAAAGCTTCTCTCTCTCTCTCTCTCTCTCTCTCTCTCTCTCTCTCTTGTCTCTCTAAGGGAACGCCATGCATATGGCCACAAGTTGCTATAATGGGCTCTCAATTGAATTAATGGGTAGGGCATAAGGGAAGAATGTCACATCTATCAGTCAGTGCCATGTAGTTAGTCTGAGAGTGCAAACAAAGTTTTCTCTACTGAGCAATGAGTAGCCAAATCACAAGCTTTTAGAGGTGGTGAGGATTCATTGAAAAACCATTGGTTCCATCACTTCTGACTCTGTCAGATCCAAAGTTTTAGAGGTGGTGGGGATTCACTGAAGAATCATTAGTTCCATCACCTCTGACACTATGTCAGATCCACTGTAGAGCAGCTTTTCTCCATCTGCCTTTGTGCTCATCTTCTACTTCACTTTCTTTTATTCTTTTTCAGATTAGATTATGTTCGTCTTTAAAAACGAAATATATCTTCACCAACTCAAAGTACAGATTGGATACAAATAAGGGTAAGCGTTATGGTTAATAATGAAATCCAAAGAAATAATTATATTTAATATGTTGTTTAATTGGTGAAGTCGATTCTTTTTTCAATAATATTAAAGTGCACCTCAAACTATACATACAATTTTTTTCGATGAAAATAATGCGGAAAAATACTACAATTTGTATTTTAATTATTTGTGATGGGCCACGTCACCCCTGACAAGAACAAGGGTGACGCAGTCCGGCTGGAGGCGTAATTCTTTCTCCCTCGCAACTTTGAAGATTTTCCACTCCCCACGATTTCGGTACATATACAACCCGCCACCTCCGGTTCCTTTCCGCCACCGTCACTACCTCCACCTCCCCCTTTGATAGGAGAGGCGGAGGTCCTAAAAGCGCGATCTTTCCTGATAATTCCAACATTCCCGGGGGCGGGGGTCCCTCTCGCGGATCTCGCTCTCGCCGACTTGTCTTCTCTACCTTCTCCGCTGTCGCCGGACATGTTGCCGTACGCGACGTTGGAGGATGCGGAGGCGGCGCTAGGGCGGAGCCTCACCGCCGTGGAGGCTCTATGGTTACGCTATTCCGCCCGGATGCCCGACTACCTCCTCTACTGCCACAACATCCTCTTCCTGCTCGTCATCTTCAGCCTCGCCCCCCTCCCGCTTACCTTGATCGAGCTCTGCCTCCCCGCCGCCGTCTCCCCCTACAAGCTCCAGCCCAAGGTCCGCCTCCCGGCCGCCTCCTTCTTCCGATGCTACAAGGATGTCATGCGCGTCTTCATCTTCATCGTCGGCCCGCTCCAACTCTCCTCCTACCCAACCGTGAAGGTCCCTTCTCGATTCCTTCACCTTGTCGTCCAGGGCTAGGGTTAGGACCACCCGGAAAAGAACAAACACTTCTTGATTCCGTTCTTTCATTCGACATTTCTGTTCATCTGATATTTTGGTCCGCCTCCTCAAAATGATTGTTTTCCTTATCACATTGCTTTATCAAAAGCCTTTTTTTGGTCTTTTTTTGACTTCTTTGCCTACTTTTTTCGTCAATATGTTCTGCTTCGTCGAAAAGATCGTCTTTTATTGCATTGGTTGTTTAAAAGTGTGTCTTTTCGATCGTTCTGGTTCGTCCTGTATGCTTCTTTAGCCTCCTTTTCTCCATTTATAGGTTCGGTCTTTGACGTTGTCTTTGGTTGAAAATTGCGGCAGCTTGTGGGGATACGGACCGGGTTGCCGCTGCCGTCGTTGTGGGAGGTGGCAGCGCAGCTGGGGGTGTATTTCTTGGTGGAAGACTACGGCAACTACTGGATCCACCGGCTGATGCACGGCAAGTGGGGGTACGAGAAGATCCACCACGTCCACCACGAATTCACCGCGCCCATCGGCTTTGCCGCTCCCTACGCGCACTGGGCGGAGGTTCTCCTCCTCGGGATCCCCTCCTTCGTTGGGCCGGCCATCGCCCCCTGCCACATGATCACCTTCTGGATCTGGATCGCCCTCCGCCAGCTTGAGGCCATCGAAACCCACAGCGGGTGCGTTAATCACCCTTCATCCCCCTTTCTCCAACTTTTTGTCTTCTATAATATATCATTACTTGGCTTTCATCCATTTTATAATGATTGTTATATGATTTTATAGTTTCTAAAAGTTTGATGTAGGGAGTTGAATTCAATGACTCTTTGTTTGAGATCTGAGTTCTTTTTAAGTTCCGTTAATGTTCTGGCTGTTCATTATTTAAAGCATGTTGCAGTCATCATCCATTTGGTATGATTAGTTAAAAAGATTCAAGTGGGTTGTACAGCAGATGAGGGTATGAATTGTTTTCCTGATCTTTGCTTTAATTTAGTTGTCATTTTCTTATACCACCATTTATGTATGTATATATATATACCTCTTACCACTTTATAGAATGACTTATATTATTGTACTTTTGAAGCCATAGTTGACTCATGTTTCCAATATGGATTTTTTGTGTGTCGTATTCTAGCTTATAACAAATGACCTTTGTCCCCAAGGGTTCATTTTGGATTCTCATGTTGTTGTCAACTCCTTGAAGTTAGAAGAGAGAAGATATTCTCGATCTGTTCATTTACAGGTAACCAACTCATTTTGGAGTTAAAAGTAACAATTATGTATCCATTCACAACTTTGGAGAGTATTCATCGGTATTTTCTGAATGCTTGTTGCATGGAGGATTCTGTCATTTAATAACTGAAAGCATTGGTAGGTCAGGGCTCAGCGGCTTAGGAAAATAGAAATTTGTGATAATTAATGTTCAAGGTTACCTGTGGACAGTAGCAATTTTATAAGGTTATTGATTATTTAGTGAGATTTTTGTGAAAGGTTATCAATTATAAAAACAAGTACTGGAACATTAAAGAGCTTGAATATCCAACTTGCAAGTTGAGTATTTGAAAAACGATGAGATATTGTAGAGTGGTTAATTATATAAGGATTCTTAAGTACTCTCTATATTTTGGTGTGTGCTGAAAAAGTTCGGAACCAAAGTTGAGAATTGTTGTCTTTATAAATTGATCTTTTTTGCCGTATGCAACAAATTCTCAAATTGAGGAAGTTATCTAAGCATGTATAGAACTACTTGCTTTCTTGTTCTTGATTCTGAAGCTTGGAATGCTTGCACTAGTGCCCACAATTAAAGTGAAGAGCCTAAAACAAGGTGGTGGTGCTGATGATGGTTTTGCAGAGGTTACCTTTTTCAGAAGGGATCTTATGGAATTTAGTTCCTGCATAGAAGGTTAACAGGCATATTGGCTTTGTAAATATTTTAGGTTAAAGGTTCTTTGAAAAGAGTTGAGGGTGTAGGGGGATTATAAATAGATAATATTTAGCCATGCTGAACATATTTTCCGTAAAAGAAGAGCTCTAGGATACAATTTCAAGTTCACATAAGACTTTCTTGCTTTGCATTTCGACCACTCTACAAACTTTGATGGAAGAAAGAGTAGGAGATCTGAAATTAATCACACTTATACACGCTGGTTAGGTGAATGCAGGTTATATTAGTAGTTGAGAGGTTAACAGGTTTAATGATGATGCCTCAACTTGATGATGCAAGAACCTTAAGGATATGGCTGCTGGCAGAATTGTGTCATCTCTATACCTGTCCATTTTTGAAAATGTAATACTGTCCTAGTATGAGTAAAAGGATACATGAAGCAAAACATCTCAGATCAAATCTGATTCTTGTTAAGTTTGAAGGCACAGAAAGAACATTCTTTTCTTTTTCTTTTTGGTTCAAATGGTTGTTGCAAGTTTCCTCCTGCACTTTAGCCTTCTTAAATATAACATCATTCTGCTCATGTGCTGCTGAAAATTTAACAGTTATAGGAAGAAGTAGCGGATCACTCGAGTAAAATCATCTTTTGCAGTGTAGTGTCTTTTTTGGTTTACACAGTGGTCGGCTGTTGCAGGATTCAGCTCTCAAGAACATTTGTTAACCAGCATTGTTACCTATTTCATTTGACCTGTACTCCTACATATTGTCGACATCGAGTTCATTTTTAACCTTAATTTTTTATTGAGATGTTAATAGCAAGATATCTCACCTTTTCCATGAAGAAGCAGCATAATTGTGTTTTGACCAATGCCTTCTGAACAGATATGACTTTCCTTTAAGTCCCACAAAGTTTATCCCCTTCTATGGAGGAGCAGAGTATCATGATTATCATCACTATGTTGGAGGACAGAGCCAAAGCAACTTTGCTTCCGTGTTCACCTACTGTGATTACATATATGGGACCGACAAGGTTGGTGAATCTTGGCCACAGTTGAAATGAGATTATTCTGAAAACAAAAAACAACATAGTTTTCATGCTGTAACCTTCTTTTTATCATTTCAGGGATACAGATACCACAAGGCATGCCTAACAAAGGTATCAGGATTCTGCATACCACAAGAAGTAACAATCTTCTTGCATCGATTTGCAGTACCAAGATGTCATTAATTATGTTATGTTTCTAGTTCTAGCTGATAAAATGGAATCGATAAGCTGCTCTTCCTCTCTTCTTCTTGGACTGATCCTTCTTTTGTTTGAAACAGTTGAAGGAGCAGCAGGGAAATGGTCACCTGAATGGGGAAGTTAATGGCTTCATCAACTACGGCCAGAAATCTGAGTAGCCGTCGAACTCATGCCTCGTAAGTAATGGTTAGGTGTTAGCTAAGACAAATGTTGTTTTGCTAGTTAGGTGCAGACCTGTTGTTTCTTTCCACCCATCACATGCGATTTTGACATCCTTTCGTGACGGTGGAATGCGACACCAAGATGGTCTTGGAGAATGGCTATGTAATTTCTTAGGTAGTGCAGCAACCTATGTCTGCTTTTGTTACTTGATGGTGCACTGCTTGTGAAGCAACCTTGTTAGAGCTGTGGCCCATGGGAGCTTCTCTTTTATGAATGCCATGTAAGAAACTTCGCTCTGCGTGGACAACAGTTTCGTCTCAAAAGTTTCTTTTGCTGATGTTGGTAACTGACATGCTGGTTCTTGATATGAGATTGCTTCATCAATCGAGATCATTAGCTGTGTTGTGAATGTTCTCAGTTAATTCTCCTATGATATTAGTGTTTTCCACCACTGTGATTGATTCAGGACAAAGCCAGTTCGAGATTATATTGAATTAAACTCAAGTTGGATTCTACCATTTCATTCCTCGATGTGTCAAATAAAACCTTGTAAAATGGCAAAAGCAGATAAGGCTCTACACATTTTCGATAATCCATGTAAAAAGAACCACATAGACAACATCATAATACCTGAAAACCTGGTCCCGTATCAATATCAAGTCACATGCATCTTCAATCTGACAACATAAATCCAGTATCATCATTTTGGATCCCGGGTGAATCCAACCAGATACTATTCTTACCATTGATGTAGTTGTCACAAACACCTTTCAGTTGTACCCAAGCTGAATTGCTTAAGCTTCCATGCTCAGAATGATAGCTATTTACTTCCAGCAAAATAACAACGACAAAGGTACTGACTTCTATACAGCCAATGATAATGGAAAGTACCTTATAAAGCTGAGAATCTCATAGGGTTCTAAGCCAAAATAATCTACCACCTAAGAAACTCCAATCAACTAATCTCCATCAAATCAAACAAGTTACTATTAGCTATAGTTTAAAAGCTGATGCAAAACACGTCTTGGCAGCCTCGCTGTCTGTTACTCAAAACCTTCGAAACCCACGGTCCAAGAATCTTCCTGATGGGCACTCATATGCCATATGACCCCTCCCACCACAGTTGTGGCAGATCATCAGGGGACCCATGCAATCCCTGCTCATATGGCCAATCTGGTTACAGCTTCGGCAGATGACATCCTGGAATCCACCACGAAACACGCTGCCACCCCTTTCACCGAGCATTCCTGCCTTTGGACACTGCCTGGCCACGTGCCCTGCGACGTTGCAAAGATTACACACAGGCTCGTTTTGACAGTCACGAGCTAGGTGACCAGTCTTCCTGCAGTTGTTGCATGCTTTCTCGTTTGTGCAGTCTGCAGCGATATGCCCCTGCTTGTAGCAATTATTACAGAGTCTTAGGTCACCAGGAGGGAGATGAGGAGCTGAGCAGTCCCTTGCAAGGTGGCCAGCCTTGCCGCAGGTGTGGCAGATGCCCTCGTTTGGGCAGTTGCTTGCCACATGTCCAGGTTCTTTGCAGTTCCAGCATAATGCCATTGTAGTGCACTCAGCTGCAATATGCCTAGCAGAGGCAAGAAAAATCATTTATTTTAGGTTAATAAGGATAACAACGAAAAGAACAGGCTGATTATACTACATGTTACATGTCAGAATGTATCTGAGAGCACAGGAGATCATTGTATAGCAGCACATATACACATTTAACATCTTAAGATTCTTTTTTCTTATCACAAAAGGTGACCGAAAACTGTGCATTTTCTTCATTATCATGCACTTCGCATCAAGAAAATAGAAGCATCAATAAGTAGCAAGGCCAGATGCACAAAAGTTACATGGTGACTGGTGTGAACCATATAGACAAATTCATTGAATGACAAATTTTAATTATTACCCTGGAAGACCACAGTTATTGCAGACAGCCACATTTGGGCATTCTCTTGCATAGTGCCCAGGTCGTTTGCAGTTCTTGCACAAATCAGCATTCCTGTAATCAAGAAAGAAAGAATAAGACCATACTAAATAATCATTTAAAAAATGAGAACCCATAAGATCATCTTTGACTACTTACAATGCCAATAGCTTATATAATTACATATTGTTTGTTCTAATGACTCCATGAGATTATTCCAAAATTATAATGGATATAACAATAAGAACCAATTAATAATTAAAAAATATATATTTCCAGCATTATCTACCATAAACTCTTTTAAATGTGTATTCTCCTAATCCTCACAAAAGAACCATCTTAGCAACGATGGAATTTCATAAAGCATGATCATATTTTTTAATTTTCCTTCAGAAATTCCAGTTATGCAAGACCTAAATCTACACATCCATATCCTAGAATTTCAATTTCAATCAACTATAATTTAAGTTTCAGCCAATAAAATCCTTTGTCCCCCCTCCAGTGGTTGGTGTATTTTGTTGAATCCACTTCATGATGATTGTCAAACTCATGAACCTCCCAACTTTACTGCTCTAACTAAAAGACAAGATTAAAAACTGGAGTAAACTAAACACACATATACAGGCATAGGAAACTCAAAGATGTCCCTACAAAAGAAGAATGGATGACATTACTTGAAGCAACATACAATGACTTTGTATAATGGATCATAGTTACCTACAAAAAAGGACCCACCCTGATATCCTTCACATATATTGGATAGCTATGGAACATAGTTTACCTAGAACATGTAATGTTTTGGAGTGGCAGAGTGGTGTGAATCAGATTGATTCATCAAGGTACATGGAAGCATATATTAATTGGTTTATTTTTTTGGATCATGGTAGTTATTGAACCAATTAGTTAATTCTCTTTATATATCAAATTGAAAAATCTTGCTCTTGCCAAGTTATTAGCTATGCCTTTAAAAAACATTGGAGGTAAGAGACCAGGAAGTTCCGATCTCATTAATGTTTTTCATGCTCTTTTTTTCTCGGCAGGAGCCTCGTGCAGTGAGCTGCCTTTTCTTTAAGGATCTTGTTATTTCAATTTTCCTAAATAAAATGTCTGATATGGATTTATTTGTCTTTAGTTGGTAAATATCCATAATTTAAAATCCTGTCAGGACTCAAAAGCATAATGAATTAAGTCTCAAAACTAGGAACCTGATTCACAGTTCCAAGGATAGGGAGGTCCTGGAAACTTATGAACTGCGTATCTGACATTATGCAAATCATGCAATTAGTGGTGCTTCAAGCATTTGAAGCATCAAAATGGTTCTACGTATTGACACAACTCCATGTTCAGTGACAATGATCTCTAACCAAAGTTACATTCAGAATCAAAATCATATTCAGGAATAACTGAACAGTTTCAGTGCAGAAAATTTTCTTATATGTCAATAATCATCTTATCAACCATTCACCTTCCCTCACATAAATTGCTACCTTTTCTAATCAAAGTTACATTCTTCTGAAGCAAAATAATATCAGCAATAACTGAACAGTTTCAGTGCAGAAAATTTTCTTGTATGTCAATAATCATCTTATCAACCATTTACCTTCCCCTACATAAATTGCAACCTTTTCTGTCTTAACAATCTATAGCAGGATACATCGTTACACCACTGATAGATCATTTATTACAAAAAAATCAACTTATCTAAAATCCAAAGTCCTAAATAATATGCATCAATAATCTTAAGCCCAAATTTAATTAATCCATCATATTCTTTCATGCAAAAATAAGCCAAAGACTCAATACACCAATTAATATCCCAGAGCCAAATACCATAAGAGAGGGCAAGCTTCACATTAAACTGTATGACTATATGAAAAGAATTCTAAAAATTAAAGAACTCAAGAAAGAGGATTTTCTATCATGCATTACCATTCAGACAGTTAAAGGTATTAAAGAGAAGGAAGAAGGGCGGCAGCAACAACAGCATAAAACAGAGATAGACAGGAAAATTAAGAGAAAAAAATGCCAATAATTGAAGCAATGAAAGAGGAGGGAAAAAAAATATGTATAAATATATATAAAGACGAGGTTTGTAATATTGGTGCAGGTTCCTAAAACATGAAGATAATGGTCAAATTATTCTGTAAATAAAGGATGCTTTTATTTAAGATATCAGTGAAAGTTATCTTTTAACTTCTAGTTAACAGGCTCTACCACATCAAAATGTACAACAGATATATCATAGTATTTTCTGCAATTACTACAAACCTATTGTTAAAAGTCAAAATTCGGCAACAGAAAATAAAACACAGAAAAGCAACTTGGTGGTTGATGACTCGTTAGATAGTAATTTGGACCTTAGGAAGTCCCCGTGAATAGCTTGAATTTGTGGTTCCTTTTCCAAGCATAAAATATCTGAGCAAAGCTGCAAATAAGCTAAATTTTACAGCAAGTGCACCCTTCAGGTACATAGCATTTCAAGCAGGATTTCATTTAGCATAACTAAATGTTTAGTCAGCAATAATAAACAACCATTTTAACTTAAGATATAATGTATATCTTGTATCCACATTTTTATATTTTGCTTAAATTCAACTTTCATTCACTTACTACATTACATATAGATATCACAATCTTGTACCAAACATGTTCATACCAAATAAATATATGAAAGAAGCAACGGGAAAAAGAAAACCATTTATTCTATCTATTGCGCACAGGACCTTTCCTGCCATTGAGCTGTCGTAAGAGCAAAACCTTTAATCTGCTCAAGGCCATCAAATACTGTGTGTTTTTTTTCTAACACAGCAACATCAGAAGCAGCAAAGGACCATAGTTCCCAACAATAGGGATCAACTACATAGAGATGCAATTTCTTAAAATTGAGCTTTATTGAGGACAATATTCCCAGTCAAATCCCTTTTAATGTTTTTTCTAACAGTCATTTCAATACTGGCACCATTAATCTTAACTAAATGATCTGAGTAACAGGTGCATTTGCAGTCTCCTTTAGATATACTTATAATCCACTATGAGCCAAATAACTGTCATGACAATAAATTATGGTTCTTACCAACATATACATCAAATAATAAACCAAATTTAGTTTAGACCATCTTATAAACTATTTATTATATGTTCTATAATCTATACAAGTATATATCAAACAGATGTCAAAATGTACACACAGAAATACACTGTGCAAAGCAACCAACAATAATTTATATGGTATTTTGCATACACAAGTAAACCATCAACATGATCATAAAAGTATGAAACACAAGCTACTGATGATCGGGGAAGCAAACTGTTGAATTAGCATAAACTAGGCATCTTTGGTCAGAAAAGACTAAGAAACATTCCTAGCCCCATTGGATATTTATTATGGCAAGCAGATATATACATTAAGCAGAGCAATTTCTAAATTAATACGATACAGTCCTCTTGGGGAGAACAAAAAAAGCACCATGTCTATGACAATGATCAACTTATGTATCACTATGGGATGCTGAGTATCACAATAATAAGCATGCTGTATGATGAAAGGTGTCACAACATATACAAGAATCTGAAATGCATTAACTATGGTTGTGTCATGTTAGGCATAGAAAAGATATGGCAAACATAAAACTGAGAGGTGAAACTATCAGAAACCTTGAGCCACGGCGGAAATCCCTCCTATATGGTGCATCACGATGTGACACCCGTTCAGTCCGGATCTTGCGATCCCTAGGAGGGCTACGGCTGGTTTCGCTCATCTTCAGACCTGTTTCTTCAACGCCAATGGTTGCCGTCGATCTACACCAGCACAACAAAAACCACCACCACTACCACCACTGCCACCACCAACAACACCTTCCTCCCTGTCCACCACAAAACCACACATCGATAGACATCTCCATAAGTCCAAAAAGAACCACCAATGCTTTCCTTCCAGAAAAGAGAAAAGAAACCAAATTTGTATGCCGTAAGAGAGGTCCCCCCATACTAGTAGTACATTGCTGCCCATGATCTCACCAATTTTTAAAACACCATTTCAGCTTTTTTGCCTTACTTCAGTCATTAACAACAATGATGTCCCAAGTCATCTAAGGAACAAAATCCAGAATTCTGATTAACCCCTTGTTCGACAACACCTTTTATATCTTAGAGAAGAATCAGCATAAAACCAAATACTGTATGTGTATGTTCTGGAGGAAGCCAAAGAGATGGAATAAACATTCACCCAAAAATTCATCAAAGAAGGCTAGAACAAATGTGAAATGTAACACATACAGCATGTAATATATTATATATAAAGCTAACTGCAAAAGTGTTTAGGCCTTGTTTGATGGTATTAAATACCAAACATTGATGTACCTCTCCCTCAGAAAACTCAAATCTAGTTGAAAAACAAGATTTCCAGATCCAAGAAATTTATTTGCTAATCAGTCAGCGCAACTAAAGTTTTAAAGTTTATCAAATAAGATTATCCACACAAATCTACATTAAAAAGCCTAGATCTTAGATCTCAAAGAAATCTCGAATCACCCATCAGCCGTCCTCAACCGGTTCATCTATAAAAGTAAAAAAAGACTAAGATTGATGGTGTCGTCCTCACAGATTAAATAACAACCTAGATCTCCATAATGTCCTGCACCACTAAATTGGCCAAAGAACCACAAAGATTATCTTTTTCCCCTCCCATGCAATTAAACCTTAACGAATCTGATCAACGAAAAAAGAGACCTGATCGTAATCCAGATACAATTTGTCACTTCAGATGCCCCCCCCTCTTCACCTCCAGATCAGTTTTAGGAAGACATAAACAGCTACGGTGTCTGGCATCGCCAAAAGTTCGAACAATCCAATGACAAAACTTTCCCTCCTTACCAAATTGAGGAAAAAGGAGATCTCCACAACAACTAAGATTCTCCAGAAAAAGGAACGAATTGTCCCTTCAGCTCACGCGCCCTCCCTCTTCCCCTCTGACGAAAGGCAACGGATTACGAAAGATACCGACCTCTTGTGGCCGCGACGAAGATTTAGGGTTTCCACCGACCCCCAGCTCTCCTCCGCCCCCACCTCGTCTCCCCCTTCGATGTCCGAACCCTATCCATCTAAAAGAAATTATTATATGCCTTGCTTGTGCCATGGCCATCGACGATGGGCCCCAGCGGACCACATTAACTGCGACACCCAACACACCGGTACCCACATAAATCACGTGACCACAGGCCCTGTACAAGCCAATGGGCTTCCAATGACAACAGGCCACGCCGGCCTCCACCTTCTCCATCGGCTACCGAAACCTCTTCCGCGATCCCACCTCCGACTGCCCCGCCTGCGGCCGTGGAACCACCGAGTCTACCACCCGGATCTCGTGACTATATATATATATATATATACTTGATTAACTCTGAATTAGCTTTTAGATTAGATAATCAAAATGTGAGTTAGCACTAAAAGGAAGGTCTTCGCTATGTTCGAATCAAGAGGATCTGAATCAAGAGGATCTGAATCTATCAAATCCCACAGTCTCCAACTTGTTTGCTCAAGCTCTCCCAGCCCGAGCATTCCCGGCTCAAATGTCGGGCCAACCACAATCTCCAACTTACAAATGCTCGAACCCTTAGCCTTTTGCCGACTATTTCCATGTTCGGTGGCCAACATACTACTATCACTCGCTCAACAAGCTCCTCTAGCCCCCACCGAGAGAGACTGTCCCTATTGAAACCTTGGCACAATTTGACTCAGCAAGTGGATTTACTTGCATAATAGGGACCATCCGCTCCATTTACTCCGCCCTTTCCTGCTCTAGTTCCACCGCTCGATCTGGTCTCAAGCATTGTGGTAGAGTCCCGATCCCTCCCGTTGACGCACCTCTAGAAGCTCACTCTCCTCAAAACAAGCCAGCTCAAAATCCCTCGTAAGAGTCCAAGGTGCCTTGAGAGTCTGTCGCACAGTTTGTCGGGCTCCCCTTGATGTTAGAGACCATCTCTATAAGATTGGACCAGAGGTTGGAAGAAATCTAAAAGGAGATTAGAAAACCTATGGCGTCCTTTTTGTTATACGTCAGGATAGAGAATCATTACCAAGCTACACGAAGAGATTAAATGAGGTGAAAATGATCTTAGATCTGAGTTTATCCGATCTCATCAATGGATATATGGGTGACCTTCAACCATCTAAATTCTTTGGTAAGATTATTACTCGATTGTTAGAAAATTTATGACTAAAATGTGTTTCTAAATTATCATAATAGAAATACAATTAAACTAATACAGAATCGAAAATTATATCATTATTGTTGAGAATCTCAACAATAATTTCTTTTTATATTTTGATATTTCTTCGTTCAGAACTCTTGCTTTAGATGGTTTAAGAAATTGTTAAGACTTGAGATTAAGCATAGAGACTAAAAACTTATTTATATAGATGTTCTTCCATCAAGAATTAATTTAATAATTAATTTAAGTTTAAAATATTTGGACTAATGAAGTATTTTAATAATATTGAATGAAAAAAATTAATAATAATGATTACATTCATAACGAATGAAGAAACTGAAACATTTAGACCATAATAAATGAAAAAATTAATGATAATAAATGAGGAATTTAATAAGAACGGTTACATTCTCTCACTTGCTCTTGGTCTTTTAACTTAATGACTTGAATTAATCTTATCGAAACTTTCTTAAAAATCAAATTACATAAATTATAGCGATAAGTCATCCGAGAGTGAATATTATCATCAATGTATTATAATATATTTAATTTCTTAAGAATTAATCGTGATAATATTACTTAATAAATAAATCTTATATTTATTTTTGGTCTAGTATAAATATATTTTCTCAAATTAATATGCACATGAATATGAGAAAACATTATAATATATAAAAGTTTCAACATAATTATAAAGTGAAACCAAGTCTCATTTTCTCTACATGATCCTTGAATTTTAGAGATAGTATGTCTTTAGTCAAAGGATCAATAAATCATAAATTTAATGCTAAAATGCTTAATGACTACTTTCTTTTAATTTACGTATTCTCTTATTGCTAAATACTTAATGTTGATGTATTTACTTCGACTTCCACTTTTATTATTTTTAGTCATAAAGATAGTAGCTGAATTGTCATAAACATTCTCAATGGCCTAGAAATAAAATTCATGACTCTAAGCCCAAAAATGAAACTCTTAAACCATATACCATATGAAGTAGCCTTGAAACAAGAGCAAACTCAGCTTCCATAGTACAAGTAGCAATTAAGGTCTACTTGATACTTCTTCAAGAAATATCTATACATAAGCATGTAATCTTTGATTCCTTTAAGATACATCACCACTTTCTTTGTAGCTCTCTAGTGGTCGATACCTGGATTACTCTGATATCGTTCTAGCATCCCCACATCAAATGAAATATCAGGTCTAGTACAGACCTAAGCATACATAAGGCTTCCTACGGTAGAAGCATATAGGATGTTTTTCATTTATTCCCTCTCAAATCATTCTTCGGGCATTGGTTCAAATTGAACCTATCACCTTTTACAATTAGAGCAACAGTCGGTGAACAATTCTTTATCCGAATTTTTTCTAAAAGCTTATAGATATAGGTTTTTTTATGACAAATCTAAAATATCTCAAGATCTATCTTTATGAACTTAATGCTAATGACATAAGATGCTTTACCCATATTTTTCATGTCAAATTTTTCAGAAAGAAATTGTTTCACCTTTTGCAACAAACCTTTATCATTAGATGCAACCAAAATATCTACGTATAAAATAAGAAAACATAGTTTACTCCCATTGACCTTCTGATATATATATTGATTCATGGGATTTTCAATAAATCCGAATGAAGAAATCACTACATGAAATTTAAAATACTATTGAGAAAACATATTTTACTCCCATTGACATTCTGGTATATACATTGATTTATGAGATTTTCAATAAATCCGAATGAAGAAATCACTACATGAAATTTAAAATACTATTAACGAGAGGCTTGTTTTAAATCATATATAGATTTTTTAAGCTTAAAAACTAAGTGCTCAATAACACTAGAGGAGAAACCTTCAAATTGTTTCATATAAATCTCCTCCTCTATATCTTCGTTAAGAAATATTATTTTCACATTCATTTGTTGCACCTAAGGTCAAAATGAGCAACCAAGGCTAAAATGATATAAAGAGAATCTTTCTTAGATACAGAAGAAAATATCTCTATATAATCGATTATGTCTGAGTAAATTCTTTTACAATAAGTCTTACCTTATATCTCTCAATATTATCTAACGAATCTTTCTTGATCTTAAAGACTCATTTACAGCCAATGCCCTTTGTCCATTAGGTAACTCTATAAGATCCTAGACTCTGTTGCTCTTCATAGAATTCATCTCCTCCTTCGTGTTATTATATCACAAATCCAACTCTTTGCAACTCATAACTTGTGAAAATGTTTCAGGATCATTTTCAGCTTTAATATTATAGTTAGATTCTTATAGATATACAACATAATCACTAGGAATTATTGATCTTTTATTTCTAGTAGATCTTTTTAGTATTGTACCAATGTTTCCCTAAAAAACTTGTGGTTCAACTAGTTGTTCATGAGCTTGTTGTCATTCCTAAACTGCTTGATCTATTAGAATACTGTCAGCAACTTGTGGAATCTCAATGATTAGTTGTTCAACACCAGTTTGTACTTGAGGAGTGCTATGAACTATAACAAATCTATCATTCGATGTGAAAGGTTAAGATTCTATATGATCATGTGTAGAAACTATGTTCTTGAACTGATCGCTCCCATTGATTACTAGTCATAGGTGTCTTGCAAGCCAATCATGTGAGTGATAACACGTGTGACTTGACACGTAATCTTTTTGTTTATTATTATTATTTGATATTTTATCACTTTATATTGTCTGTTATATGAATATATTGTAATGTCCATAGATATGTGCAATGGGAATTGGATCATGATGAGATCACGATAATGAGACCAATTTATCTTTAAATATATATCCTAAATAATCTCGATCATAGGTTACATGAGAAGAACATCGAGATAACCTATGACCATATTATGATGTCCATCAATCTGTCCGGTTATCTCGATGTCCCTCTCGAGTAACCTATGATCAGGATTATTCAAGCTATGTGTTTAAAGGTGAATTGGTCTCATTATCATGATCTAATCATGACCTGATTCCCATTACACAGATCCATATATATTATAATATATGCAACATATAATAAAAAATAAAAAAATATTAAATAAATAATAAATAAAGGGAATGTGTATCATATCACCACTCATATGATGATGCATCGTCATGATTGGCTAATATAGCCAATGGTGCATCTTGATGATTGCATGCAAGGCCAAATCGATCCATATGCATCTTAACGATGCACAAAACCAAATCAGTCCATATGGCATTTTGACAACATTCAAGAACGAATCAACCCAAAGTGCATTTCAATAACATGTAGGCCAATGACACATTTCGGCCCAAAAGAACAATAAGAGGGCAAATAGCTAAAACGACCAAATGCATGTCGACTCCAATAGGACCTCGGTGTCGGTGACCCATCGAACGATATTTCTTGACTTGACCTCACTACACTCAGCAAGCTAAGTGAGGGGGCATAATGATGTGGTGAACACTAACACTAGGTGGTCGACACCTCAGGGCAAGGTGGCTGACATCTGGCATTAACTAACACATGGACACCGAGTGGCCATCACCTCGGATCTAGTGATTGACATTTCAACACTTAAGTGGTCGACATCTCACCGTTGTGAGATCAACACCACATGGCAGAGTAGGTCGAACATTAATGTCTCAAATTTGGCTCACCACGACCACAGTTGAGTCCAGGGAATATGCACTATGATCTTTATGGCTAGTGTTTACTGTAGAGATAACAATACTTGAAGCCCACAGTAAGAGGGCTTCTCAAGTACGTTCATAATATATAATGTTTTATCCTAAAAGACAAATCCTATAATATATATATATATATAATTTGTACGGTTTAAAACTCAAGGTAGAATTGAACATCAATTTTAGATGAGTTTAAGCCTGTTAAATTATGTATCAATCTAATAGTGGTCTTCTATCTTTATATCACATATGAATATTCTGACACATTATATTCATGAGAATTTATAAATATTGGAAGAACCAACCAGAAAGGCGGAACGAAAGATGAGATCTTTAACCTATCACCATCACCTTTGAACATTCCAAAACTTTTGTTGTTCATTCTTTTCTTGGTCATTAATGTAGAAATAGCTTGTGCTGGTGATTCTGCAGCCTCACTACTGCAATGAGGAGAAATTTATAAGAAAATATAATAGTTCACTAAGTTGGAGATTATTAATACTAGGAGGAAGAAGAAAGTAGGAGTAAAAATAGACAATGAACTGAGGCTCTGCAGGTGATCAATACTTTGATTTAACTTCAAGTCAAACATTATTAATAAAATTGTAGCAGGAGCCAGACAGAGTTTACAAACAGGAATTCTATAATCACAAGATATGAATGCTGCATGCTAACATCAATCACCCAATATTTTTTTTCTTCTTCAAGTCATTTGGCAATTTTGAAAACTTGTAATAAAAAAATCTAGTTGTCTCGAATACTCACTGTAGTTATTTCTTCTTGAAGACACTTGTTAATCCTAAAAAGTAGTCATGGTAAAATCTTATCAACCTTGACTATAAACACCAATGTTTAAGATGGAAAAAGCTCAATTGCTGGGGACCAACTTGTCTGCACCTGTTTTCTTCTCATCAGAAAGAATGAGAGATAAGTGGTTCCAGATTCCATGAGAGCTCTGGTGCTGGTGACTGCTGAGAATTAGAGATAGATCAATCCAACACACATTGTTGAAGGTCAACTCCCTGCAAACAGCCGCAAGAACAGCTGAAAGATGGTGGACAAGGTAGAGCACTCCTATCTGGAAACTAGAGGCCTCAGCCTTCACATAGCTCATGTAGGAAAAGGTTGGTGAATGCTATGACTGCTAATTTTTTTCTCTTCTGTTACACTTTTCATAGGAATCTCACTCTTATCAATCTCTTCCTGTGTTGTTGAATGTAGGGGAATTGGGTGCTGTGCTCTTCATCCATGGATTTCCAGAGATATGGTACTCTTGGAGGCACCAGATGAATGCAGTTGCCAAGGCAGGATTCAAGGCCATCGCTCCTGATCTCCGCAGCTATGGCCTCTCCACCCAGCCCTCAGAGACAGAGAAAACCACCTGGGAGGACCTTGTTGCTGATCTCCTTGCCATCCTCAATTTTCTCTCCATCTCCAAGGTGCCTTTCTGGCTTAAGCAATAAAGCTTCTTGTATCGTATGCACATCGATAAGCAGATCAAGGTTGTCCCTTTGGTTGTTCCTCCTTGCTACTGGATTCTTTTCAGCTCATTTTAGTATAGAACTGGTAGACCAGTAGTGGATTCAAAGGGAATGCCTTTTGTGTCGTCCCAAGGCATGTCCTACAACACATTACCTGAAGGCTTCTACATCTTGCGGTGGCGGGGAATGCCATGATTCATTAGCTTAATGCAGCTCCTCTCAAACCACACTTTATCAGGGCAATTTATCTAATACAATCTCTGTACTTGCTCTAATGTTCTTTGGTAGGAACCAGGTCGAGCAGAGGCAGATTTCGGTCGATTCGATGTCAAGAGACTCATTCGCACCATCTACATTCTATTCTCGAGGTGTGAAATCCCTATAGCTGAGGAAGGACAGGAGATCATGGACCTTGCAGACCCATCTACTCCTTTGCCACAGTGGTTCACTGAGGAAGATCTCAATGCCTATGTTGCTCCATATGAGAAATCTGGGTTTCATTTTCCTCTCCAAATGCCATACAGGTGAACTGCCAAAGTTAGCATATGAATGAATGAATGAAATCCTTTAAAATTGTGCTGACAATACCACTCTGCTTCTGGTAGGACATTGTATAGGGGAACAGGCATTGCCGATCCAAAAATTGAGGTTCCTGTGTTGTTGATCATGGGAGAAAAAGACTAAGCATTTAAGTTTCCAGGAATGGAGAACTATGTGAGGAGTGGGACATTGAAGCACTTTGTTCCTGATCTGGAGATCAAGTACATACCTGAAGAAAGCCATTTTGTTCAGGAGCAGTTCCCTGATCAAGTGAACCAGCTTGTCATCACCTTCCTCAAGAATCACATCTGAGCTAGGTTGGGGTTGATTTCTGCAACATGTTCTTTTGAAAGTATCTTTAGAAGTAAATAATCAAATCCTGTCCTTACTTTATGATGTCAATATTCAAAGTACATTATGATTATGGTAGATACAGAAGTATAATCATTTATGGTTATTCTAATCTTAAAAGCAACATGATTACTCTACAACACTATTTCATGTCAATTAAAAGATCAGTAGCAAAGACTGCTTCAATTCAATTTAACATAGAATTTTATCCTTCATTCAACACAATTTTTCCAAGAACAATTTGATGATAAACATATAAATGAAATGCATTTTGCATAAACCAAAAATTAATTGAAGGCCTAAAATCCACTGCGTCATAACAGAACGAACAACTACTAAAGAGTAAAATTGGATCTAGCTTATAAATTGAGCAACTATTCTGGTAAACTTTAGTCATGTTTTAACAATGAGAAGCTCTGTGCTATGCATAATTTACCAATGAAGCTTTTGACCAATTAACATTAACTGGATAAATTATGAGGGATTGCAGACTCCTTATATCAATTCCTAAAACCAATTAAGCGAACACAACTCGTGCTCTAAAATTTTATAGAACAGAACATTCAATGAATGAAAGATCTTACTGTCTTTTAGATGTTCCGACCAATTTATAGACTGAGTTGGTTTCGAAGCTCAGCTTGTTCTTCTCAAAGTTGAACATCATCAGATGCTTGAGGAATTGCAGAAAATACTAGAATCCGATTTCTACTGGAAACTAATCAATATTTGTTGAAATCTAGTCTAAAAGGCTCCAGTTTTGGAACCCCAAAAGCAGTCTCGTTATCTTGATCCAGCGACTCAGAAGGATGCTGATGGTGGCGGAACACTGAAACTATAACCAGACCTCCCTTTCACCCTCTGATCCCATTTGCTTCCGTCGACATCAGTGCAAACTCCTCGATGAACTTGTGGAGGGGATAACTCCTGTCGAATGCCGTCATTGCATTGTTCTGCCAAATCCAGTTCTCTGTCTCAGCCTCCCCAGACTGAGCTCCAGTGGGGTTCCTGAGACGATTAAAGCATCGGTGTGGAAATAAATGTCACCGCACTTGTATAGAACAAGGAGGCGGAGAAAGGGATGCAGCCGGTGTGATTCGAAGGTAGGCAAGAAGGCGTTTTGATGGGACTCGAATAAGTTGTCCACCGAGATTAACTCCCGCGGGCCAAACGCATCGAAGAGAAGATCCAAGTCAAGAAGCAACGAGTTTTACGTGGAGGACCCGATCTGTGCCGCCGGAAGAACTCAGCGGCGATCTTGGCGAACCTTCTCGACCAGACATTGGGCTGCAGGAAACTGAGAAGAAGCTTGCTCGCTGCGTCGAGTCGAGGGCTCAGGAAGGAGAGAGAGAGAGAGAGATGTCCAATCAACCCCTGCTCCTCAACACATTAATAGGTTTGGAGAGATCAAATCAGTCAATTTATTATTATGAATCGTAATGCAATATATAATATAGTTTTCATCTTTGAGCAACATTCAATCAAAAAATAAAAAAAAACTCAAATCCCTTGTTGATTTATCTAATTAAAAAATTACTCAGATGGCAAAAATGTTCACATAAATCGCTTCTTAATTTTTTTCTAATTATATATAGGCAAAAATTATTCAACTATAACATCCCTAGAAGAATCACCCAATAAGGTATTCTTATTAAAATATAGACTAATTTGATATTTTGGAAAAATAAAAGAAAGGGAAAATAAATAAAAGACATTACTGAAAGGCACTTTTACAGCACATTTTATTGAAACTTTAAAGTGGATTAACCTGGGAAACATGGACAATTTTGATTGCATAATTAGCATTACCCTGAAACAACAGCTACTTAGATCTGCTGCTCAGAAAATTCAATAACTCTTTAGAAAATTCCAGCATAAAATTCAAGAAGGCAGGAGTTGTGTTCATTCACTTTACTGATCTGCTGCATTGATTCGGACACTCACATGCTTTCACCATTACAGATCAAATCCATAGTAGCAGACACCAAAATTTTGAACAGAGCCTTCTCTCATTTACTACATCTATTTGATTCAGATGACAGGAACATTAATAACAATGCATCTTGTGATGTTTATTAAATATATGATACAACCGTGGCAGCATGAAGTGGGGAGAAAAATCATATAAAACAACAAAGAAAAGATTATAAGACAAAAGGATACAAGTTGCCATAAGAGTCTTCAGAGCCCAAAGCAGAGAAGCTAACCCAGGACTCTTCCTCATTGTCTGAGAACTGAATAACTTCCACATTGCGCAGAAAAGACCAGCAGCACTGTGCACGATCTCTTCAATAAGGTCCTTTACAGGACTCGATTACTTTGACAACAGCTGAGTGTGTTTCTGGAGGCATCATGTTTAGCGACAGATGGAATGCCTGGCAATACCATTTGAATGCATAATTATGTGCTACCCAAAAGTAAACAAACAAAAACAACCTAATTTGTTAAATCACATCACAAATCATTGCAGGCAGTCCATGAGTAAGATGGATATACTGGTATGAAAGTCCTGTAAATATCATTGAAATATCAAAGCAACATCAAGGGGCTATAAGGGGAAGAGAAATAACAGATTAGATGGTAGATTATATTGTCAAACAATGACCATAATGAGCAGCATGATAACATGTAACAGGTGATTCCAATATATCAATGGGAAGTGAGATATCATGCTAATAATGCAGCTTCACTTATCCCAATTAACTAGACCATTTAGCGATGCCACATGGAATTACAGTAGTTACCAATATATATTGTATAGAGTCACACAGATAAAATCCTATTGGGGGATTATAGGTTTTAATCCTGAAGCCTCAAATTTAAACAAGGAAGCTCCAAATCAAGGATTAGCTCCATTTGTCATGATCTATGACAATACGAAGAACATCAAAATTAAAAATATATTCTTCATTCTAAAATGTTCGGGTGGAGGAAAAAAAAAGCAATCTTAACAGCAAAAATTATGTCTGATTTGATCAATGACATTGGAGATTAAATCAAGTTATTTTTTTCATAATAATATCTAGATTAGGATCAAATGTTTTTATCATTAATTAAAACAATCTAGATTATAATTTGTTCCTCTTGTGATAGTCTTATATATATATACATACATATATATATATATATATATATATATACATATATATATGTGTGTGTGTGTGTGTGTGTGTGCGCGCGCGCACGCGCACGGGCGTAGGTATATGTATATATATGTGTATATATATATGTTTATATATACATGTATATATATTAGCTTCCAAGTATTTTAAACGTTGTGTTCATGTTTAAGGAAGCCGATTTCCAATTTGGAGACTCTATGACTCAGTTTGGGGTGTTATGATTGAGGATCTAATTCTCCTGATAGACTTTAGCTCAAGTTTGTACATATTACAAGAACATTTTGGTAACTTACCACAAATCTTTCTAAAACAGGAACTAGAACTTGCAAGTTCCGATTCGGAAGGCAGTTGGCAATGGCTTCACGGACTTTGGAACTGATGACAGCAAATTACCATTAATAAGAAGAGTGCATTAAACTACCATAAAGGATCACATAATACTGAAAGGTTATGCAAACCTCTCCGTTGATAAAAAGGCAAGCAATAAAGCTGCATATGCTTCGATGATCATCATTTCAGCCTCACGTGCTCCTTGCAACAAAGACTCTTCATCATCCTGTTAACTCATTACAGAAATTCAGTCAGCAGTTGGCTCACCAATCAATGTACATCTTTAGCAGGAATATAAGATTATAAGCAACATTAGAAATGTATGTTAATTTTGAGGGGTTACCACTAGACTTAAATGAAAGACTATCAACAGATCATCAATTTTAGATTCAGTGGTGACTTAGTATACACAATACAATATGATCAACCAACTTACTAGAACTTATCCTTTAAACATCTGAGGTGACAATTAAATTAGATCTGTTATTTGGCATGGTATTCCTGAATGTTCCCATGGTAAACCAGTTGCAGTAGCAAACTCAAATTTCCCACAACTGTCACCTGGGAACCTGTAACATCCTTCTTTGTCTTTATCAAGCTGAATTGCCTAAATTTGCAATTTAAGCAACAGTGATTGTACTGTTGACTCTTCATGTTCTATAGCACTCAAAGTTCAAAATGACAAAGAAGTTAAATTTATTTTGTTGCCTGAGTACCAAATCGGTAACCATATATAAAACAACAAACTAAAAGGGCACTGAGCCAGCACCATAGTGTCACAAAGAGCTCTGTTTATACAGAAACCACGATATAGATTATAAAATTCTGTAATCAGATCATTTTTCCTGTCCAGATTTATCTTCAACATTTTATTTGCTGCACAGAGTTCAGTCCTTCAGTTGGGACTTCATGGCTTTGTCATTGTTGTTGTAGAGTTTAATGTTTCACATTCCTAATTTGAAGTAAACAAAGACATTTTTTAGTTATTAGTGATGAAATAGGACACAAATGGATAGTTAATGTTGTCTTTATTGACTGAAGAGAAATAAAATTTCCCATGCGTTCCTGTGAAATGCAATGTATCAAGCAACTTACTCCAAAAATGTGTATAGTGCACATGAAGAATTATGCAGCTGCAAACTTACTGCATATTATGCAAAATCATGGTGCAAATAGAAATAACTAATTCTACAAAGAGCACTGCAACATCCATTTTTCTTTTAAATCTATAATCGATCATGGATGGAATCCATGAAGGATCCAAATGAATGTTTCAAAATTATAACAAAAACAAGCATTATTTTGCACCACAAGCCTAATTTTGTTAAATTATCATTTTAAGAGTATCTTTAAGATTAAACTATCATATCTACATGGTAATCTATAGCATTCATCTAAAGCATTGGTCCGGTGGTAGTGTACCACATTCACTTATCAAAGGTTGAAGATTCAATCCCTCACCCCTAATACATTGGTATGTAAGTGGTGTACCAAATCGACTTACCAAAGATTGAGGTTTCGAAACCGACATAGTTTTGAAGGTGCAAGCAATGCAAGGTTCTGGATATGTATCCTGCCTTCACCGCTTATCCTTTGTAAAAAAAAAAAAAAAAATCTTTAGGCTACATGCAGCATGTACTTACACATATATAAGTTCTTTCCTCTTTAGCATCCCCATTTCCTTGATTTGACAAAAATATGGAGCACAACAAAGGAATTGCATCCCTCTGTGTCTCTGTGCTTTCTGGTTTTCCTGATTGGCTTGCTGAAACACGAGCTGCTGCAAGATGCAATCTGCAGAGGAGCTATTTAATGTAATATGCTAACAATGAATAATTTGGCTTAGCATGATCAAATAGTGCAGTAATAAGCATTAAAATAATAATAAACTATGAAGACGAGAAAAAAAAATCAGGAGAAAAGTTGTATTGGTAAAAAATGACAGGGCTTTGGTGACATTGCAAGTTGATTGAGCATCCATGGTTATAAAGAAAATCCAAGCCACTTTCCCAACAATGAATGACTATAGAGCATATCTTGAAATTGAGAAGGCTCTAAAAGAATTTGATAAAAATCTTACAAGTTATAAGCGACTGTCAAAAAACATCTACCCTGTAATTTGACCTTGTTTTCAACAGAGCTAAAACAGAAAAGTGGGATGACTCAACAAACCGGCATAATACATCCCTGCCGTTGGGCCACCGTAAAAGGATATATATATATATATATATAGAGAGAGAGAGAGAGAGAGAGAAGAAAATTTCAAAATTACATATATATATATACACATATACATATATACATATATATATATACACATATACATATATACATATATATATATACACATATACATATATA